TGTCTTACTTAAAATTTAATTAAATTAAAAATTCACTTCTTTAGTCACATTGACCATGTGACCATCAGACAATGCAGCTATAAAAATATTGCCATCATCACAGAAACTTCTATTGGATGGCACTCACCAAACTGAACAAAGTAAGGGACTCAAAGTCACGGAATGGAAGCAAAACAGGGAGGTGGCTGAGTGGTGAACAGCAGCAAATCGGCCTCCCTGAGATTTGGAGTGCAGATGCTGGAATACAGCAATGTGGGAAAGAGAATATGGAGGGAAGTGTATCCCTGGGGTGCAGCAAGGATCTGAAGTGAGAATTAGAGACCACAAGGAGAATGAAGAGAAGGACCGAAATGCAGAAGAGGGATGTGGCAAATGGCATTTTTAATCCCACCTCCCATTGTGAGAAAGGCAGCTCAAACTTACAGAAGCAAGTAACTGATTCTAGAGGCCTCTACAAGGAAACACACCACCGGAACACAGCAGTAGACGCTGCTGGTGTAGTGGCTGGTGAGTGATTCAAATCCAATTCAGATATCCCCAGGAGAGGGCTACGGGCTGGTCATCATTTTGGAAAGGGGCCAGCTGAACTCAGGACTCAGAGCAGCAGTGGGTTGGCTTCACTGAGGGGTTTCCAGTGTCAAGGTGAGGTGCAGAAGTGGGAGACACCCAGAATCAGAGAGCCAAGTTCAAACTGACAGGAGGCACCTGAAGTGTTGTAGGCTGAACAACACAGGTCCCAGCCTCCTGGCCAGAAACTAGGACCAGCCTGAACTTCAGTGGAGCTGAAAGAGCAGCTTGCTGGCATTATCCACCACCCCCCTGTAACTCTACTGCAGACTTGCTGGGATCAGCCAACATGGATCTGGGCTCTGTCTACCAAAGACAGCAGAGACATACCTCGAAGTGGGCATTTTTTTCTTCTTTTCTTTGATTTTTTTCTTTTTCTTGCTTGTTCTTATTTTTATATGAGTATAAACATTGTTCCAGTTTTATTTCTGCTATTTTGTGCTGTTCTTATTTCTGTTTCTTGCTTCTTTCTTTCCCTCCTGTCTTCTTCACCAGTTTCCCAAAGCTTGCATAATCTTTCTCTGTCCTTTAACTTTTCTTCTAATCTCTTTCTCTTCTTCTGTTTCTCTATTTTTTCCTCAGACCCCTTTTTAATTTTCTACCCCAAGGGTAAAGTCTACATATTGAGATGATATTTACCATACACAGTTTGCTGGTTTGCTTTATATGTTGTTACATAACTACAAAACTTCTTCATTCAGTTAAAGGGGGAAGATTAATAGTTACCAAGGTTTGTCATTTTCGAGGCTGTGCTTGATGCTATTATTATTATTGGTTGTACTACTTTAGCCAAGGTTACATAGTTGGTCTAGTCAGTTCTTCTTTGTATGTCAAGACTGGGATTGCCTGAGGGTCATAAACAATACTGTAGGCCAGTACCAAAAAACCAGGGGCTAGGCCACATAAGCAGCAACTTCTCATCCCCAATAAATTGAAGAGATAGGATGTTGCAACAGATTCAAGAGCCAAAAGCCCACTATACCTATAGTAGAAAATGAGAAAATATGGAAGTGAAATGTAACCCTAGACTTCCAGCTTTCCCAAGGAAAACCCAGAGGGCAATAAGGTGGAACAGTGTGAAAACCACCCCTTGAACTCTCTGAAATGGTAGCAGTGGAAGTAACAAAGCAGATGAATAAGGCTCTAGAAAAAAAATCAAATAGAAATAATTTCTCAAATAACTAAAGAAATAATGACCATAATGAAGGACATGGTTAGTGAATCTAGAGTAGATACAGATAAAAACATAGAGGAGCTTAGGAAAATGATGGAAATCATGAATCCCAAACATAGGAATGAAATGGAATCCATGAAACATATTCAAATAGATATCCAGAACATTAAAAATTTTATAGAAAGTATACACAGCAGAATTAACCAATATGAGAACAGAATATCAGCTCTAGAAAACAGGTTTTTGGTTACTGATCTTGAAAAGAAAGATGTCTTAAAAATAGCAAGAGACCATGAAAAATCAACCCAACACCTGCTAGATGAAGCAAAAAAGAATAGCAAGATTGATCAGAGTCAATGAAAAAGCAGAAGATAGTGCAAATGACATACAAAATCTGTTCACATAAGAAATGGCAGAAAACTTCACAAGTAGGGAAAAAGAATTTGACATACAGATAAGTGAGACATAGAAGTCCAATTAATCAGGCTGGGGATTTAGCTCAGTGGCACAGTGCCTGCCTGGCAAGTGCAAGGTCGTGAGTTTGATTCCCAGTACCAGAAAAAAAAACAAAAAAAAACCAAAAAAACAAACCAGAAGTCCAATTAATCATGATTAAGAAAAATCTACACTAAGGCATATAATATTCAAGATTCAGAAATTCAACACAAGAACAGAATATTAAAAGCTGTTAGAGAAAAGAAACAAATCCCCTATAAAGAAAAGCCCGTCAGAATCACAATAGACTGCTCAACCCAAACCCTTAAGTCAAAGAGAACATGCGGTGAAAGCCGCATTTCAAGCCCTAAAAGAAAACAACCTCCAACCCAGATTGATGTACCCACAAAACTATCATGCAAAATTGATGGAGAAATAAGATACCTCCATGACAAAGAATACCTGAAGAAATTCATGACCACCAAACCAGCACTCTAAAATGTTCTGAGGATTATTCTAGAAAGAGATAATGAAGTCTACAACTCCAGGAATCCCGATAGAGTGACTCACCCAGGCAAGGTAAGCAATTGAACAAAAGGGAAAGAAAGGGAAGCAACAACAGGAAAATAATACGAGATGGATAAGCCAAGACATACCAGTTATAACCATCACTGTAAATGGTCTCAATTCACCAATCAAAAGAAACAGACTGGCAAAATGGATCAAGGAGCAAGATCAAATAATATACTGCATGCAAGAAACACATTTAACTCAAAAAAAAATTCATAGACTGAAAGTCAAAGGATGGAAAACAATACCTCATTTGACAAGAACACAGAAAAAAAGCAGGGGTAGTTATTCTATCTGCAGACAAAGTGGATTTCAAGACAAGACTGATCAACTAAATCTTGGAAGCAGCCCAAATGCCCATTAAGGGAGGAATGCATAAAGAAGATGTGGGTTTTTTATACAATGGAATATTACTCTACCACAAAGAAGGATAAGCAGAAGACATTTCTAGGTAAATGGATGCACCCTGAGACCATACTCATAAGTGAAATTAATTGAACACACATGTTCAAATATCATATAGTTTCTCTGGTGTGAGAAACTAAAAGGGTAAATAAGAACCAAAATGTATAATAATATTAGGAAATAGGAAGAAAACGTTCAAATGGGAAATGGAACAAGGGAGAGGGAGAAGGGAAAGAAAGGAAAAGAAAAAACAGGATAGAAGGAAAAAAATCAAAACTAAGCTTTGTAAATAAGGAGGGGAAGAGGGATTGAAGGGAGGGGAAGGGAATGGGAAAAAAACAGGCATCCAGATATATCATGTACAGGTACAAATTCCCTATGATGAATGTGATCATTATGTATATCTAAATTGTACTAATAAATTTAATTTTAAAAAAGATAAATTATGTACAGGTACAAATTCCCTATGATGAATGTAGTCATTATGTATATCTATAATGTACTAATAAAATTAATTTTAAAATATTTTTAATCTTAAAAAAAAAACAAAATAAAGAGTCACTGAAATGCAGTAGGATCAAATCCTGATTTGGACCTGTAACTGTAGTTCTCTGCTCAAAGCAAGTGATAAAATATCTCTGATTATCATTTCTACCATGCAGATAAAAATAAGATCTTCTTGGATAGACTGCTGAGTGGAGGAAATGAGATAAAATGGATAAAGTCTCTGACAGAGTGCCTAAAATATAGAAGAATGTGAAAATATTAGTAAAATCTGTGCTTAAAGCAATTCAATTCCATAGACCTGAAAGGCAAAGATGATCTTGTTGCCAGGTGGCATGGGGGCCAGCTGTCCTTCCCAGTCTGTTGCTATCCTGTTCAAAGAACTGGAAAAGACAACCAATGAACATGAAAGTTTAACATTTATTAAAGGCTAAAGAAGATGTAGAGAAGAAAAGAAGCAGAATTGAAAAAGATGTAAAAAGAAGAAAGAAAATATGTCCTGCATGCAGAGGAGGTTACCTGAAAAGTAAGAAGACAGTGGTGATGAGGCAAATGATGACCATATTCTATATTCTTCTTCTAATATTAGATATAGGCCATTGGAAGATGTGTGCCATGACTTGACAGCTTTGTGATTGGCATGCCCCACTCTATTGTCCATCTCTTCTCCATAATTGACAGGCCAGGCCCTATTGTCCAGCTTCATTTCTGTGGCCTAATCTCCTGCCTCATTCCCCTGGTGAGATATAAATCCCCATAATTCATTATGGGTTGTTGAGGGAGTGTCAGTCTTGGTCTTCATGTAGCTACTTCTTGCTGAAAGGAACTGTAGGTCCTACCAGTGGGGATTGTGTACTCCCTAAACACATTAGGATGATGTGGCTACTGGCCAGACTGAGAGAAACCTGTCAGAAGACAATGAGAAAGGAGTTAGTGTTTCTGTATAACAATAGAAGAGCGTTTTGCGATCCTGTCAGGAGCCTGTGGAGGCAAAGATGGATGTTAGATCAGCTACCGATGCATATTTATGTGACTCAACTTATCTATACTTGAAGCCAAGTACAGATAAGTCTTTAAGGGTCTTACAAATAAGTCTTGGGTTTTTCCTTTTAAAGAGGAATGTCAGATCTTTCAGAAGTTCACAGGAGCAGAGTCTTAGTCCTGTGAAAATTTGAATAATCATTTCCCATGTAGGTTTTTTATAGCTTGTCACTGTGTTCCTCGAAGAATAGCCAGAATAGTTCCTCAGGAACTGAGAATAAGGTGAGGGTCTTAAAAGGTTGCAAGACTACTCTACTTATCTCCCAATCAGCCTCCTCTTACGGTGAATGGCAGTGACCTGCCTGAGAAGATAGATTACCTCTAGGAGTTGAATAAGCAAGCCCCCTTTTTTTAGATTATTCCATGGGCATTAGGGTAGAGGAGGCATTGGGGTAGATCAATCTCACTCATGCACCCCTGCATGGCTCCTGGCCTGCTCCTGGCCCTGCTGCTATGGGGAGGGTACGTAACTGGCAAGGACAACATTCCTGGAGCCTCCAGATACCAGAAGGATGGGATACACCCAGAAATGCTTGAGCATATTGACAGTAGACTGGAGATATGGGTCCTGGACCCAGCACTGACCCTCCTTGTCCAGTGACAAGCACAGGTGCTTGGCCTTGCACTGGAAATTGAAAGTGAGGACAGGGGCTGGGGATTTAGCTCAGCGGCAAAGCGCCTGCCTGGCAAGCGCAAGGTCATGAGTTCGGTTCCCGGTACCGGAGAAAAACCAAAAAAAAGAAAGTGAGGACATACTTGCCCCACCTCATCTAGCTCAGATGAGCCAGGAAGACACCATGGGAGCCATTGCCTTCTTCTAGCACCAGCTGGGCAACCCTGAGTCATGAGAGCATCCCAAGGTTATCCTGAGAGGGGCTGGGCCCCCTTGCCTCTCTCCGATTCTTGGAACATGAATGACCCCGTCACTGCTTCTGGAGTATTCACGGGAGGGAAGGGGGTTGGGAGGAGATAAGCTGTCCATGATGGAAGCTCACCCTCAACTGAGATGTGGGTGAGCAGCTCTGGGGGAAGCAACTCCATTGAGTCAAAATGTGAGGCAGAACTGGGGCAGATGGATACAGAAGGCTCATCTGAGCGACCCTTTCTTGCCCCCTGCAAGACAGATGGAGATCTGAGGATAGGATCATCAGTGATATTATTTCCTTTTTCCTCAGGGATCACTCTAAATACCCTAGCGTCTGGGCTATTCCAGAAATTAAGAGACACAAAAGCCTAAATGTAAGGAATTTCATTCCACCTTCCATGTTTTTTGCAGAAATGATCTAACTGCAAAATAGTGTCGTAATTTAAACTGCGATTTTGTACCCCTCTCTCATTCCCTGGTTTGTACTGGACCCATACTGTACTTCAGTAGTAGGTAAATTGTTTCTTTTTTAGATCAGCATGGTGAAATCTTTCCCACTGTTGAAGGATATGGGCTAATGGTGAAGTCACTGGAATATGTAGGGTGCTTTTCAGGGTATTTCCCATGGCACATCTTTTTTTGGGGGCTGAGGGTTGAGATAGGGTCTTGCTCTGTAATTCAGCCTGGCCTTGAACTCAATATGTAGCCCAGGCTGCCCTTGAACTCATGGAAATCCCCCTGCCTCAGCCTCTCAAATGCTGGGATTATGTGTGTGCATAACCACACCTGGTGCCATCACACATCTTGAGGCCTAGGGAGATAGAAAACTGCTCTGCGGTCTTTCAGAGGGCATCCTCTACAGAAGGAGGAGACCCACTGAGTTCACTAAGCATTCCTTGTGATATTCAAGTACTTATGAAGCAAGCATCTCTGCTCAAAATTCTGGTGGCAGCACCACTGCCTTCCCAGATGCGTAGAGCCCTCTGGGCACTCTCATTCTTAGGATTCTTCATACTATGGCCCACTAACTTCTTGGGGAGAAGGGTAGAGTCTCCTGGGGCTCCCTTAGCCACTTGAGAAGCTACATTCTTAACCCTTAGGACATAAGACTGGGTTCAGCAGGACCATCCATTACTTTTGTACTGTAAATTTGTACTTTAGTGTAATAATAGCCAGCTGTGTGTCTCAGTACCTTTCCCTGAGGGATAGAGGAAGCAATCTATGTGTTTACTCATGTAGTATGAAGAACAGCAAGGAGTATGTACATGTGCAAAACTGTCAAAACAGGATTTGGACCCACCTTTATGTTCCACCTAACTGGTTTTGTAAATGTTTAGCCAAGCATTACAGAGCACCACTCCAAGATTTGTTAAAAAAAAAAAAAAAAAAAAAAAAAAGTTTTCTTTTGCTTTTTCAGGTAGAAGTAGCCCAATTCAGTACAATGGCACAGGAAAAACCAGATTTGCAAGTTTTGGAGGAGATCAAAAGTGATTCATCAGATTACTAATGCATGGATGATGAAGATGACCCATTATGGTAAACACATGTTTTCATAACAGAAGAGTGATGTGGTTGTATGATGTTGATGATGATAATGATGATTTTGACCTTGTCCATGTGACCTGAAGTTCCTGTGACAGTGAAATGGGGCAAGAACTGACTGATACAGACATGGAGCATGCAGACCTTTTGACTCAGATGACAAAACAGCAATTTGAATACATATTTGATTGGTTGAAATGTTGTGATATGGCCATACAACCAATGTTAGAACTTCAGTGTTAGAACATGCAACCATGAATCCATTGTTAGAACTAGGTCCAAAAATATAGTGAAGGTCTTGGCAGTGATGAAACATATTGGGCAGAATGCCAGCCCTGCCATTCAACATTGGAAGTTGTAACAGATGAAATGCTGCAAGATGCTGCGAAATACACAAAGGCTGAAGTTCAAGAAAAACATTCTTATGCACTAATAAGCATACTCAAAAATGTAGTTATTATTGACACCTCAGTAGCTGAACTGAAGGCATTCACAGGTCTGCTGTACTTAGCACTGATTTCTCATGGTGATCACAGGAATGTAGAATACTTATGGAAAAGCGATGGGTCAAGATGTGGCATAAAAATGTACACCCTTGTAGATGCAAAGACATTCTTTCAATTTAGATGTTTATCCTGGAAGTCAGCCATCAGGTCCTTATTTGTATAGTAATAAACCAAATGATGTGAACAGACTTGTTGCTCCCTTCTCCCAAACTAATCAGAATGGGACATGCAACAGTTGGTTTATCGGTTTCCAGTTGATGTTACATTTGCTAACAGAGCACAAGTTGACCAGTGCAGGAACTGTACACAAGAACAAAGCAGAAATTCCAAATGAAAGGTTGCAATTTTGAAACAGAGAATCGTATAATACAATATTTGAATTTCAGAAAGGGGTAACATTGGCCTCATATATGGCAAAGAAAAGCAAACTGGCACTTATGTCAATATTTCACCATGCTGGAAATATTGATAGGGAAACCCCAACAAAATGGAAGCCTGAGATGGAAACTTTCAATAACAAAACCAAACATGGAGTAGATGTTGTTGATGAATTATGCAGCAATTATTATGTCACTTGAAATACAGAGCATTGGCCAATAGTTGTATTTCACTTGATCCTAAACATGTGTGGCATACATAGTTTGATAGTTTACAAAGAAAATAACATGTGCACAATATCATGGAGACATTTTCTTAGAGGATTGGGACTGGAGCTCATAAAAGATCATTTACTGCAGAGGAAAAACTAAATGTTTCTTCCTAGGGAATTATGCAAAAAATTGTGGAGCACACTGGTGAGCTGACAGTAAGCAGGCAGGCACAGTATCACAAAGAACTACTAAGACTACAGGAAAACAAAAAAGATGTCAACTGTGCCCTACAAGAAAGTACAAAAAAAAAAAAAGTACTGTCAGTGTAAGCGATACTTATGTATGGAACGTGCAGAAGGACATTCTTTGTTCAGAATGCATTGAGGACATAATGATTTGTTTATTATTTGTTAGCATTTCTTAAGATAAGGCTTCATTATACAGCCTGGATTAAGCTTGAGTTTACTATCCTCCTGTCTCAGCCTCTTGAGTGCTGGGATTACAGGTGTGTCTTGGATTACATGTGGAGAAAGATAATCCTTTAATTATCCTTGTTAAAACATGTATCCGCCCATTTGTACTAGCTATACCCTTGGTTCTGGCTCAATAAAAGGTGACAGATTGGTAATCGAGGCTGCAGTCCAAGAGGCTGTACGCCCCCTGATCCCAGACTTGTACTTCTCTTGCTTTTGTTGTCTCTCTTACTTTTTCTTTTCATCCGCAGGTACCTTGTTCAGGGGAACCTGTTCACCCTGGACAGGGATGGATGCGTAATCTGACAGGAACGTGCAATTATCATGTGTGAAGACTGCCTTGGGTGTGACAGTTGAAGCAAAGCTTATTTCTGTGGTAGACTTCTGTTTGTGTTTACACTGTAGTTCACATAGGTTTTTATTTTTTATGTTATTTTTTAGATTTGTAAGCAAGTAAACAGCTAATGTGAAAATGTTGATGTCTATTCTAAGCACTCCTTACGTATCTGATATTTTATCTTACTGACATCTTATTTCCCTGCTAAATAGATGTTGTACAATATATTAGGAAGCTCCTGACAGAACAGGAAGAGAAGAGAGGCGAGAAGACTGCCACATAGGAAAGGAAAGCTAAGCACATGTTCTGTCAGTGTAAGTGAGATGTGTGCATGGAACATGCAGTTGTGAAGACTGCCTTGGGTGTGAGTGTTGAAGCAAAGCTTTTTTTTTTTTTTTTTTGGAGACAGGGTCCCATTATTTAGTTGAGATTAGCTTGACCTCACTGTGTAATCCAGGTTGGCTTTGAATTCAAAGTGATCCTCCTGCCTCAACCTCCCAAGTGCTGGGATGACAGGCATGTGCCACCACACTCGGCTCAAAGCTTATTTTTGTGGTAGATTTCTAGTCATATTTTCATTGTAGTTCATAGAGGAATTTATTTCTGATGTTATCTTTTAGGTTTCACATAAGCAAGTACACAGCTTATGTGAAAAGGTTGATGTCTCTTCTAAATGCACAACACAGATTAAGAATTTAATAATTTCTTTTATTGATATTTTATGTTCCTGTTAACTACACACTGTATAATATAATAAGAACCTCCTGGACAAAACAGCAAGATCACTGAGATGTCAAGTATGTCCTACAAAAAAGTCAGGAAAGCCAAAGACATGTGCTGTCAGTGTAAGCAATGCATGTGTATGGAATGTGCTGCTGTCAAGTATGCAGATTTGCTGTAGGTGTGATTATGGAAGTAAAGATTCTTTTTGGTAGAGTTCTATTGGTATTTTCATTGTAGTTCACATAGGAGTTTATTTCTGATGTTCTTTTTTAGACTTTGTAAACCAAAAATGAGTCGGTGTTGAAAATGTTGATGCTTTTTTATAAACACTCAATAAATATTAAAAACTCAGTACTTTATTTTTGTGATTTTTTTTTCCTGTTAAGTACTCATTATTTAACATAATAAAACAGGGAGGCCGTTTTTATATGTAGCACTAGTTTGCCCAGTTTCTAGTGTCTTTTTAGACCGAAGATTTTTATAACATGCTATTTTGCCGTTTCTATTCACAGACCACTGCAGATGTAACGGGCGCTCTAGCAGCCTCCAGTCACCCTTCAGAGATGTTAGTCCTGCTGTGAGAAGAATGTACCTCTGGAGACTACAAAGTTCCAAAAGTTTAGACTAAAACAAACTTAAACATCCCTCAAAGAGTAACTAGGTTTTCAGAAACAAATACATTTTCACTGCTGCAACCCCACCTGTATGTTCAGAAAAAAACAATGGACAAATGGGAACAAGGTAACTGTCAAATTGTACAGGTGAACTCTTCAAAATGCAGCCACTCCCTCTGCTGGCTGACGGGAAGAAGAGTGGCGGAAAGCTGCAGCGCCATCTTGTCCCAAGCTCAGCACTAGACCTCAGGAACCCAAACCATGGGAAGCAGCAGGGGCAGAAAAAGAGGAGCACCGGTGCATACAGAGCAGCCGCTCAGGCGGGGTGGAGAGGGATCCCCACGGCCTGTGAAGTGATGGGGTCAGGCACTCTGGAGTACAGACCATGGACCACAGCAGTGGTGGTGCGAAGTGAGAAACAGGCCAGGGAGGTTGCTTCCCCACCCTCTCCCTCAGTCTCCTAGCACTCACTTTCAGCCATGGCACAAAGAGGGCAGCCTCTTTGGCCTGCACCCCCTGGGAGAGAGCGGCAGGGAACCCAGCTTCTCCAAGGGAAGCGGCAGGCAGGAAGCAGCCTCTGGCTCAGTGCAGAGGCTCACTCCCCCTGAGAGAAAATCGCCCCTCTCAAGAATTTGCTTCTGGTAAGCTCCCCAAATAAGGGAATTTTGGCTGGGGCCGCGCTAACAGCACCTCGAGGCCTGAGCTGCATGGGTCTTCCACTGCAGTGTCATTCTCATCCATCAGTTGCCCTCGTGCCACACATAAGGCACCTCGAATGGCAGAGAGGGCATGCTTAGGGCCAGCCTTTGGGGTCCCGGATCCCCAGCTGGCTGCCCAGGCCCCGAGTCTGCCCCACCTACAGGGTTCTAAGGCAGCAGGCTAGATCTTTAGTGGCTATAGACTTCTGGCCCCCTGTATAGCTCCACCATTGCTGCTGCCACGGGTCTCACACTTAGTGATGGCTCCATAGGTGAGGCCAACCCTAAGGAGGGGGTGGCTGCAGGTGCCCCTTTCCCCTTGGTCAGTACACAGAGGGTGCAGGAATCTAGTGCTGCACTCAGACAGGGACTCATACTGTTCAGTGACTCCCAGCAGCAAGGGGCATGGACAGAGAGGCACTCACTCAGTTTGGCCGTGGAGAAGAGCCCCAGACGAGGAGCCACACAGACTCTGCACGCCATTAGGTCTTACTTCCTGGCTCCATTTGTTACCTCCTGGCTCCTAGCTCCTGGCTCTGCTGGTTAGCTCCTGGTTGGCTCGCCAAAACTATTGCCATACAGTGTGGGGGTCAGCAGTCTTTTCATGGCTCTTGTTGTCCCACTCAAAGAATAGGACAGGAAAAACCAATGAATATGAAAGTTTAACTTTTATTAAAGATTAAAGAAGAAAAGAAATAGAAGTGAAAAGAAAGAAAATATGTCCTGCATGCAGAGCAGGTTACTTGAAGAGTAAGAAGACAGTGGCCATAAGGCCAATGCTACTGTCTTTTATATCCTCCTTCTGGCCCTTTGGAAGCTGTTTCGTGCCATAATTTGTCAGCTCTCCATGATTGGCAGGGTACATCCTATCATCCAGCCTCCTTTCTGTGTCCTAATTTCCTGCCTCAATCTTGTTACTACCCTTGAATCAAATGGATAAGTTTTTCAAGGATGTCTATTTTGGAAAGGAGAAGAGTTTGCCTGAAAAAAGAACATTCAAGGAGTGATAAATTTTAATCACTCCCTGATTTTCTTGTCCCCTCTAGCTATCCCAGTCTTGGAACCATCACAACAAAATGGCACTGCCTTTCACAAACCTGGTCCTTTCACCATCCTTTTATTCTCTTTCTCACTTCCTTCATCCAATGTTGTTGTTTTCAAAATATAGTAGACTCTGCTCTTAAAACACTTCTGATCTGTCTTCTTGTCTTCTTATGCACTCCTCACACAGGATTGGCCCCTACCCCTCAGAAACTCCCCATACATAAGCGTACAGGTTGTTCATTACTTCCTGGACATCTTGAGGTAAACAGGTCTCCTTCACCTCATACTCCTCCATGATGTGCTGATCTGCCACAGGTTCAAATAAACAAGACCAAGTGACCATGGACTGAAGCCTCTGAGACTGAGAGCGGTGCCACCTTGCCCTCGCATAAACACCAAATCCTCATGGGGCACATAGGTGAGGAAAGAGACCCCACCCTTCTCTCCCTCTGACACTGGAGCCTTGAGTGCCCTATAGGTGAAAAGAGAAATCCTGCCCTGTACCTCACCACTGATACTGGCACCACATGGGGCCAGTGAGAGAGGAGAGAGATCACAGGGCCTATATTCTGGGGTGGGAGGTGAAGTTTATCAGTTGTTATGTTCAGAGAGGGTATATCTGAAGGAGAGGGAATTTAGTCCAGTGGTCTGCTTGAGCTTTTGCACAATCATGTGCATCAAGCAGAAATTAGTGATCTGATTTACTATAGGTCACTATCTGAGTGGCCTGTGTGTCTACACTAAAATCATAGACCTCTCTACTTTAAGGGTGGTTCATGGGGTTTGTTAGGATCCAGTTCATATTTGATGCCATTCTTCTCGCTGTCGTTACTATTGTATCCAAGGTTATATAGTTGGTGCTATCAATTGGTTTTCTCTGTAGGCCAATATCTGGACTGTCTGGGGATCATAAATAATACTGAGTCTCACTGTCAAAGAACTGGACACTGGGACAAAAAAGCTGCAAGCCCTAACAGAGAAGCCAAGCAAACAAAAAATGAGAAAACAAAGCAACAAAAATGGCTTTTAAAACTCCCAACTCCCCTAAAGCCAGCCCAAGGGGGTATAAGGGTAGAAAATCATAAGTCACACAGCAGAAATGCCTGAAAGGCATCAATGGAAATAACAAAACAGTTCAAAAAAGTTCAGTGAATTCAAATATATATATAACTAAACAGATAATGACCCAAATGAAATAAATTATCAGCAATCCTAGAGAAGACAGTAATAAAAATCTAGTGGAGCTAAAGAAAGAAATGCAAAACATGAATTTCCAGCATAGACAAGAATGGCACTCCACAAAAAAGTTTCAAGTAGAAATCCAGGAGATTGAAAGTATGATTGGATGTCTAGGCAGCAGAAGAGACCAATATGAGGACAGAGTCTCAGATCTAGAAGACAGGACTGTGGTTAGTGGTCAATTAATGAAAGATATATTACAAACAAGAGAAGATGAAAAATGGATCCAACAGCTGCTAGATGACTCAAAGAAGATTAATATAAAAGTAACCAGAATTAATGAAAAATCAGAAGATAGCACCCGTTTACAGAAGTAATATCAGAAAACTTTCCAGACATGGAAAAAGAATTTAACATACAAATGTGTGAGATATATAGAGCTCCTAATAGTCATGATCAGGAAAAAAACACCCTGCACCACATAATAATTAAAATATCAGAAATCTAACATAAGAACAGAATCTTGAAAGCTGTTAGAGAAAAGCAACAAATTACGTATGAAGAAAAACCCATCAGAATTACAACATGTTTCTCAACATGAACCTTAAAGGCAAGGAGCGCTTGGAATGAAGTGCTTCAAGCCCCCAAAGAAAACTCCTGCCATCTTTCAAAATGATGGGGAAATAAGACATTTCCACGATAAAGAACACCTAAAGAAATTCATGGCCACCAAACCAACACTCCAAAACATTCTCAAGGATATTCTAGAAGGAAACAATGAACAATGTCAAAAGGTTAAAAAAAAAAAAAAAGAAAGAAAGAAAGAAAGCAACAGATAGGGCTACCAGTTAAGTAGAAGGGAAAGAAAGCAAAACAGCAACAGCTAAATAACACAACGACAGGAATAAGTCAACTCCTATCAATTATAACTATCAATGTGAATGGACTCTTCACCAATTAAAAGACATGTATGGGCTGGGGATATAGCTCAGCAGCAAAAGCACCTGCTTGGCAAGCGCAAGGTCATGAGTTCGGTTCCCGGTACCAGAGAAAAACCAAAAATAAAAATAAAATAAAATAAAATAAAAGACATGGATTACCACAATAGATAAAGAAACAAAATCCAATGGTATGAAGAAATACATCCAACCAAAACAAAAATTCATGGACTAAAAATCAAAGGGTGGAAAACAATATTCTGTGTAACAGAGACCCAAAAGCAAGCAGGAGTAGCTATTCTATTCTCAGAAAAAGTGGATTTTAAACCAAAGCTAATGAATACAGACAAAGAAAGACATTACATATTGGTTATGGGGACTATTCAACAGGAAGATATAACAGTTGTAAATATATGCACCAAACCACTGTGTACCCAACTCTATAAAGCAAACATTAGTGGACATAAAGAGTAATATAAACATCACTACAATTATCATGGGGGATCTCAATACCCCACTATACAAAGTGACAGCTCAACTAAACAAAAAATTAACAAAGCACTATTACAGTTGAACCAAACCTTTGAACAAACATACTTAATAGATAGCTACAGTGCTCTACCCAATGACAACAGAGTACTTATTGTTTTCAGCAGTACATGATACTTTCTCCAAAATAGACAACATCCTAGCTAATAAAGCATGCTTAAGTAAATGCAAAAGAATTTAAAATTTACCATGCATATTCTCAGATCACAAGACAACACTAGAAATTAATAGCAAAAGAAACCACGGAAACTATGCAAACATATGGAAATTAAACAACATGCCTTTAAATCATCGGTGAGTCAGAAGAAATTAAAGAAATAAGATAGTTTCTAGAATTAAATGATAATGCCAGTAAAACACCAGCATTCATGGGACACAATGAAAGCAGTCCAACAAGGGAAGTATGTAGCTATGAATGCCCACATCAGAAAAATAGAATGAACCCAAATAAATAACTTAATGATACATTTCAAGGTCCTAGAAAAACAAGAACAACCCAAACCCAGAGCTTGTACAAGGAAGGGGATAAAAGACCAGAGCAGAAATCAATTAAGTGGAGATGAAAGGAAGAAAGAAAAAAGAAAGAAAGAAAGAAAAAAACAGAGAAAAAGAAAGAAAGAAAAAAGAAAAAGAAAGAAAGAAGAAAGAAAGAAAGAAAGAAGAAAGAAAGAAAGAAAGAAAGAAAGAAAGAAAGAAAGAGAAAGAAAGAAAGAAAGAAAGAAAGAAAGAAAGAAAGAAAGAAAGAAAGAAAGAGAAAGAAAGAAAGAAAGAAAGAAAGAAAGAAAGAAAGAAAGAAAGAAAGAAAGAAAGAAAGATCCAGAGTTGGTTCTTTGAAAAAAATAGACAAACTTTAGCAAACCTTACCCAAAAAAGAAAGTAAATAAATCAGTGCTATTACAAATGAAAGAAAGAAAATAACATTCACCTCTGAAATCCAGAAAAAATTTTTAGCAACCCATATGCCAAAAAATTGGAAAACTCAGAAGAAATACAGAGATTCCTAGACACATATGCATTACCAAAACTGAACCAAGAAAACTTAAAAATCTTGAATAACCCGATAACCAGCAATGAATTGAAGCAATAATAAAAACCCTACCAACTAAGAAAAGCCCAGATAGACCTGATAGATTCATTGCTGGACTCTACAAGAATTTCAGTGAAGATCTAACACCAATAATCCTCAAACTCTTTAATGAAATTGAAAGAGTACTCCCAAAATCATCCTTGTAAGTTAGCATTACCCTGATTCCAAAATCAGATAAGGATCCAGTCAAAAAAGAGTACTACAGGATAATCTTTCTAATGACTATGGATGCAAAAATCTTCAAGATATTGCCAAACAGAATGCAACAAATCATCAAAAAGATCATACACAATAGCCAAGTATGCTTTATCCCAGAAATGCAAGGATAGTTCAACATATGCAAATTAATAAATGTAATGCATCACATAAACAGAAGCTAGAACAAAAATCTCATGATATCTCAATAGACAGAGAGAAAGCTTTTGACAAAATTCAACATCTACTTATGATAAAAACCCTGGAGAAAATAGGTACAAAAGGGCCTTATCTCAATCTGAGAAAAGCCATTTATGACAAACGCACTGCTAACATCATATTAAATGGGGAAAAACTAAAAGCTTTCCAACATAGTCCTCAAAACATTAGACAGAATAATCATGCAAGAGAAAGTAATAAAAAATTATACATATATGAAAGTATATGTAAATCAAAGTATACTTATTATGCAGATGACATTATCCTCTAAGACCCAAAAAAATCTGTCAAAAGGCTCTTAGAATTAGTAACCAAATTCAGCAATATAGCAAAATGGAAAATAAACCACAAAAATCAATAGTGTTCCTACATGCTAATAATGAACTCATTGAGAAAAATTTAAGGAACAGTACCATTTATAATAGCATAAAAAAAGAAACACTTAAGAATTAACCTAACTAAGGAAGTGAAAGACCTCTACAATGAAAATAAAAAATTACATCAGTCTGAAAAAAGAAATGGAGAAGGACATTAGAAAATGGAAAGATATCCCCTGTTCCTGGATAGGCAAAATGAATAAAATGACTATATTTCCAAAACTGATATACCAATTTAATGCAATCCTAGTCAGAATACCAACAGCATTTCTCACAGAGCTAAAGAAAACAATCATAAAATTCATATGGAATCAGAAGACACCCAAAATAGCAAAAGCAATCCAGGATAACGAAAGCAAAGCAGGAGGCATCACAATTCGAGATTTGAAGTTATACTACAAAGCTACTGTGATTAAACCAGCACAGTACTGGCATAAACACAGGCTCGTAGATCAAGGGAACAGAATAAGAGGAAGCAGAAACAACCCCAGACACATTCAGCTATTTGATCTTTGACAAAGGGAAAAAGACATACACTGGAGGAATGATAACCTCTTTAATAAATGATGCTGGGAAAAGTTGTATATTCATATGCAGAAGATTGAGTGTAGACCCATATATCTCTCCACATACTAAACTACTTGGATAAGAGATCTAAATGCTGAAACAGAAACACTTCATCCACTGGGAGATAAAGTAGGTAAAACTCTTGAAGACACAGGCATAGGCAAGGACTTTCTGAACATAACCCCAATGGCATAAGAAATAACACCACGAATCAACAAATGGGATCATATCAAGTTAAAGCTTCCACACAACAAAGAAAACAACCAATGAAGAGACAACCTACAGAATGGGAAAACATTTTTGCCAGCTATTCCTCACACAGAGAACTAACATCTAGAATATATAAAAACTCCAAAAAAAGTAGACTACCCCCAAAAAAAGGCTCAATCAAAAAATGAGCAATTGAAATGAATAGACAGTTCTCAGAAGAAGTACAAATGGCCAATAAACACATGAAAAGTTGTTCAACATCGCTGGCCAGTAGAGAACTGAAAATTAAAACTGTATTGAGATACCATCTTACTCCCAGAAAAAATGACCATCATCAAAAAAAAAATCGAATGATAACAAATGCTAGCAAAGATGTAGAGAAAAAGGAACTCTTCCACATTGTTGATGGGAATGTAAACTAATACAACCACTGTGGAAACCAGTGTTGGAGATACTTCAAAAAATTAAAAGTAAAAATTCCATTTGACCCAGCTATTCCCCTTCTAGATATCTTCCCAAAAGAGTTAAAGTCATTATATTACAGGGATACATACATACCCATGCTTTTAGCAGCACAATTTATAATAGCTAGATATTGGAAACAGCATGAATGGATAAAGAAATATGGTATTTATACACAATGGAGTACTACTCTGTCATAAAGAAGATAAATTTGAGGCATTTGTAGGCAAATGGATGCAACTTGAGAACATAATGGTAAGTAAGTCTGACACAAGCTTAAATAAAAAAATAGAGAGAGAGTGTGTGTGTGTGCAAACTAGAAGATAAATAGAAGTAGGGAGAAGTTCAAATAATGCCCCAAATTATCTATTCTGTTGTTTCAAAATATTTTAAGGTAAATGCTAATTTATTTCACTTATATTACTGGTTTCTTTGGTTCATTGAAAAGAAAGTTTTTTCCTTTTATTTGTTTGTTTCCCCTTTATAAGGCAGAATTTTTTTGTATATGATTTGTACTCTCAGTAATATTTTGGCAATTCTTTTAAGCCCGTATATTAACTACTGTTATTCTCAAATTACTTTGTTGTGAAAATTTGTTTTATTTTGTATAGAAGAGTGTTTTTATATTTTCTGTTTTAATATCTAATTGTATTACATTAAAATAAAAATGTTTTTAAAATTCCAGTTATAATATAAAACATAATTATACAGGTTGTAGAACAACCCTATGGGAGGGTGCATTTCACATTGGAGGCATTGTAAATTAGATATGTATTACAAATATTTTCCGGCAGATTGCAGTGAAGTGCCTTGTTCTAACAATAGTATATGATAACAATTTTCCAGCAACATGAAAATATCCTGAGGAGGGGACTCCTTTTCTAATTGTTCAAATGTGACATAATGGGTAGGAGTATTTCTCATTCACCAAGAAGAAAATACCAACCATTCCAGGTCTAATAAAACCCAGTACAGTTCAGGCCTTGATAGCCTCTCCATCTTAAAATAATGCTAAGTTTCACTAAATTCTCGTCACATTGACTTTCTTTCATTTCCTGTTATTCTTAGTGACAGGCTTCTGTTTAGTTCCCTCTTAGCGACAGGCTGCCATTTAGTTATAGATCTCCCTGTAGTCTGGAAGCTC